TAATTGAAATGTGTATCTAGCAGCATGCTTGTGGAAATATGAGCTCAAATGGAAAAAAAGTCCAGAAGATGGAGAGCCCCACTCTGGTTAAGTGAAGGAAGTGCTTGCCTGAAATGCTTAGCAATAATGTTTCCGTTATCATTCCCTACTGCAATGCTGCTGTATTGCATTTGGTCTCCTGGCAGAATGAAACCAGGTGGGTTTCATTTCATGCTGAAATTTCAGGATTTGGGATTTACGCTCTAGACGCCTCATGTCGCAGGATCTCTCAAGTGTGAGAGTGGAAACGGAGGCCCAAGGGAATCTGTGCTGTTTCCCAGGCAGGGGTAGGATTTGTCGGTCTTATATTGTAGTATCAAAAGGTAATATCTTACGCTTCCTAAGGCTTTATGGTTTTAGATTTTGATATCTTATACACAGTATAGATAAATAAAACTTTACTTCAAGATTGACAGAAAAAAAAACATGTTCTTCTGTGAAATAATGAGCTCTCACACCACAAAACTAGTGCAATTTTTAGAGAAACAAAAGTCCTCAAATACAGACAGCAGCCCAAAAAATGAAAAAATGTGGGTGAAAAAGGGACACCAAAGATATTGAAAGCAGGGGCTTCCACACAGGTTTGGCTTCCACGTCAAATATGTTGCACAGGCCTGGTTGCCTATTAATTATGACTGGAATGGCTGCAAGAGGCGACCTTCAAAAAAGGGTTATTGTTGGCTGTTTGGCAGGCGCTTCAAAGACTAAGCTTCACTGCTGAAGTTTTGCAAAGTTATGAGAACGGCATGTAAGGAAACATTGTTATCTAAGGTGAAGTGCATACTCCAGCACTGTAATTTCTATGTATTAATTCAAAGCCTAAGACAAAAATGGCGAGCAGCTGCAAATTCAATCTGGGTGTAAGCAGCCAGTTTCTTCAAAAACATTTCGCCAAGAACAGCACAGAATAGGATGCTACAATCAGGCTGCAGTGCACTCACTCAGCACACCTGACAATGCACGATTGCAAGTCCAGTGATACCAAAAGCACAGGTAGTGGATAAGTCAACCGAGTAGTGGAGAAATTTGATATAGTCAGATGAATCACCCTTCACCACGTTCTGGACAAAAAAAACAAGTGCACATGTGGCGTTAGTCTATAGAAATCTGCAGCACTGAGCAAACAGTGAAGGACTCCTGGCATGGTATAAGCGTACTCATCCCCTTAGAATGCAAGGTCAATGTTAATCGCTACTTAATAATACGTAATCAAATTCTTCAGCCCACGCTGCAGCATCTTTCATGCAGAGACGGGTGTCTTCCAGGAGGATAATACCCCTATCCACAGACCACATGTGGTTTCCCCAATAGTTTGATGAGCATGAGACTGATGTTATTGTATGAAATGGCCTTCTAAATCACCGGATCCAAACACAGTCAAGCATTTATGGGATATTTTGGAGCAATGCCTGACGAGACAAACATCAAAATATTTTAATGATGACCTTTCAGGAAATTTATTCAGGGTTCTACTTCTAAATGAAGTATAAAAAAAATCCTGGTAATTTACAGGGCAGATTCTTTTTCCTAACAGTCGATTGTCCTGAATGCCCTCATTAGCACATGTAGCGAATGAAACCCAAGTGAAGGTCATACGTTAAACCGCTCTCCCCTGAGTCTGCAAATGGAAAACTAGTCTGGGGAAAAAAAAACACAGAAAACAGATGCATAGGAGGAAATTTCACCTTTGCTGCTCCTGGGGGAAGCTGACAAAGGATAGGCTATTCACATTGACAGGTACTTCATATGAGCTTGAGCTTTACTGAAGAAGCTTGGGGTGAAATAAACTAGTAGCCCCATGCATACTGTAAGGTATATACAGTACAGTAACTAGAACTACAATAACAGCAAACATAAGCTTCAATATGCTACAGACCTGATAATTGCTATGGAACTTGAGAATCAGGTCTGTGTCAAGGATGACTAGTCTTTGAAACTTTAATGATATTTCAGATCCACACAGACGGGGAGGGGCAAACTGGTTTGGGAGACATCCAAAATTTGGGAGATACAGAAAAGGAGCAAGCATAAAAAAAAAACGGAACATGATTACTTTCCATTGCATTATCATCTTCATATGAAAAAAACAGCTACACTAAAAGACAGAAATAAACGAATAACACAAATAAAAAGGATAAACGAAAAATATTCAATTTTATTTTAATGCAGAGCAAGAGAATTTGCTTTCATTATAAACCATTAAGCTTATAACCTTGGATGCAAGGATGATGCAGTCATTTGATTTGCAAAAACACTCAATTGATGAATATAAAGAAAGCTCTGAATCAGCCCAGCTGAATCAAGGTCCAGCTGTGTTTATCACAGCCTGCGTTGCACTCACAGCTTCACACACGAATCAAAAAAAGGCAGAGCACTGGTGTTTTTTAAATTGTATTGTTTTTTTTTTATAGGATTCCTCCTCTTGTTAAATTGCAGATGGAGTTTTTTTAAGTTTCCCAAGAAATTCTTATATATTGCATTGCAACAATATTATTAAAAGTCTTACTGCGTATGTGAAATTTAGAAATATGTTCTACACTGACCTAAAAAAAATATTTTTGCAAAATACTACATTCCACTGCAAATCTATAAAAAAAACATATAAATACATGAAACCGTTCCTCTCAAAAACAACATAGCCAAATCTGTAATAACAGCATTTTAACTCTTTAGGAAAGGTAAATGACCTCATTCAGCGCAACAAAAGGATGATGGAGCCTCAGGGAAGTATCTGTGCACATTCGGCTTTTCTTTTCCTGGATAGTGGAATCAGTGGAAGCAGGTACTTCATTTGATGAAATTATGCAGTCATTTAAAAAACAAAACAAAACACTTGATTGCTGAATATAAGGGCTTTGGATCAGGACTGCCAAGGTCCAGCTGTTAATTCATCACAGGCTGCATTGCGCTCACAGCTTCACACACGAATCAAATATGGCCAGAATACTGAAGGAAAAGTGCCTGATCACAAGAGGGCCCCTCCCCTGCAGCAGCAGCTCCTGTCCTGGCTGAGCCCAGCCCCTGTGCTACTGAGCACTTAGAACTTGCTGTCAAAAGCCACCAAAGCTGCTCTGCCTCTCCTCCATTCACATCATCAGAGTGATGCCACTTTTATGATTGTGGGGAGTGCCAACCCTTCATTTAGAACCTGAATGCGTTATCTGCACTGTACTCAGCAAAAAATACCTTAGCTGCATAGCCCAATCTATCATGAGATGAGACAGACATTTCAGCACTGCAGTACACAGTAGTCAGACACAAATGATTGTTTCAGATAACAGAAGAAAGTTTTTTTTCGTCTTTCGTCTATACACTGTGCAGGGCACCACAGTGGTGTAGCTGTTAGGATTGCTGCCTTAAAGTTCTCGAATCATGGGTTTGATTACAACAACGAAAAGTAAAAAGAAGGAAAAGTATCTTTGCCTTCTTCAGGTAAGTACATCTTCCACATGTACACAGCTCCTTATTCTTACCGATATATAACAGATCCTATATCTTGAAAAATTCATCAGACCATCCTATTTCTAAAAGTATATCTGCTGTAGAAAGGTATCTTTTATGGCAATTACAAAAAAATAACAAAGCCTTACAGTGCATATTATTGTTAACGTAATGTTCTGTTCAGATGACAAAAGTAATATATGAAAATAAAATAAATAATAAATATTTCAAAGAAAGTAATGTTTGAAATACAGGAGAACTCAGTGTACGTACTTCATCTGAAGAATAAAATGGCAGTACAGTGCGATTCATGTCAGCATGCCTTTTTAAATAATCACTAAGCGTGCCCTCTGCTTTCTCAGCTATTTTTCAGAAGCACTGGAAAAGGGAGGATAAGAAAAGAGTCCGTGAGTGTGTGCAGGTGTGTGTGGGATGGAGAGGATAATGCAGTAAAAACCTTGAACATGTGACAGAATTAGGCACAAGGAAGAATCAGACAAACTGAAGTACACTTGCTGCCTCCCACATTGCCCAAGGAAAAGGAAACCTTTCACGCTGACAAACGACAATTCCCCAAACAGCTCATAAGAGCAGAGACTCTTGCCTAGCAAACAAAAATTTAATCAAGAACGCTTAACGGGTATTGAAGCTTAGAGGGCAAGTGTACGGATCTTCTGCACCTCAGCCTGCGAGGGAAATTTTTCTCTTGCAGCAGCGAATCAGAATTCACATCTCTGTAGGAGGCTGGAGGCAGGAAAGCTGGAAAACTAAAGAGTTTTCAGCAGCACTGGGAGGCAAGACGCAAGAACACCCCCAGCCCCTCGCCACCGTCCATCTGTGCTGCTAATCCCAGCTGTCGTGCAATTCTTTGAAAGCTCATGAAAGAAATGAACAGCCAAAACATTTATTTTTGGAGAAGTGAAAATTGCCTTGTTTTGACTATATATAAGCTTCCACTAGAGAAAGAAAAGTCACACTTGGGGAGGTGCACAATTTTTCAGAATTACACTGCTGCAGTTAAAACTGCTACTCTAAAAAGATTTAAAAAGGTAATGACCCTTTACACTAAATCACTAATGGCAAACTCAAGTACTGTAATTGATTAGGAAGCAATGACAATAACTGCAGTGAATTTTTTAAATACAACCAAGATTTTATTCAATTAAATTATAGAAACAATATTTATCTGTTCAAATTTCACCCCATTCTTCCAAACCTCCCATTTATTTTATTAAATGTTAAAACCATCATACAAAAAATATTATATCTTTCATTTAATTTGTGAGTGAAAAACTTAGGTCAGTAGGTCAGGCTGTAGGTCAGTTAGGAACATGTATTGAGAATAAATTAATTTTAGGAATAAATTAGTTTTAGAATTGTTCTAGAGTTCTTTCAATCTCATTTAAAAAGTCTGAAAACAATTCTAGAAAATTTTTTTTTAGACTCTCGGTCAAGGGCTTAAAGTGAGTCCTTTGATACCATTCAGCTTACAAAAAAGTTCTTCTTCAATGTTAACTCACCTTGAATGCTAATATCCATCTGTTTGTGCTGATGTCCGATATCATTTGCCACGTCACACTGGTATATCCCAGAGTCATTGCGGTCCAGTGCTCTATTGAAACTCAGGGTACCATTAACTATTTGCACACCCGGAGGCAAGTCTTTATCTAGCCTAGAACAGAAAAAAATAAAATTAATTTACTGTACAACAGAAGCAAAACACAACAGAATTCACAACACAGGAGTGAACAAGGTGTCAGTAAAACAAGTACTGTACATCTAGCTGCAATAACACAGACCAAACTGAAGATGACTACACAAGTGCAGCATTCTGAGACAATTCAGCAGGCATTTTAGCTGCGTGGTGCATAAGACAGCCATTTCAGTTCCTGATGATGGGATTTGAGATATGTCCATTTTAAACCATAATGGGGCATACAGGTACCTAATTCCACACATTTTCTAACCCCTTTATCCAAAACAGGGTCACGGAGGAGCCAGAGCCTCCTGTTGAAACTTGTGATGTGCTGCTTGGGGGGAACAAACTTTAGAATATCAACTTGCAAAGTGCCCTGTAACAATCTTCTGAAAACCTTCTTCATAAGCAATGCCTGAAGATGCTGGATGAAATGGAGGACATAACCAAAACATGCAGCTATACTGTGCTTAAGAATCCCACTCAATTGGACACTGATCTGAAAATGATCAATATTCTGAATGCTTGTATTTTCATAAGGCTGTTGAAAAGGATAAAATCATCCTGTGATTGCATCCTCTAAAACAACAATGCACTGCACAACACATACACGTACTGTACTTCACAATGTCAGTTGTTAATTGTTGTTTTGGAGGGGTAAAGATTAAATCTACTCTTTTTATATTTTCAGATCAATTTTATTTTGTATAGTTCTCTTCAAAAGTCACTCAGCACTTCCACAATTATTTACAAAGACTACATACAGGATTGCACAATATAACAAGTCATAAGGAAATCAGTGTAAAGTACTTGAATGTATCATAGATTAAAAGTGTAACCATCAGGTGTGAAGGATACCTGTATATAACAGTACAGTGGTAAATTTTAATTAACAAATTTAATTTTTTGCCACCTGTCCCTTTTACTTTTTTTGTCCTTATATAAATGTCAGAAAAGACACTTCTAAATGCAGATTTATGTGGATCACTGAAGTGAATGACATGAGCTGCAGTGAAATATATTGATTTAAAATTGGCAGGAGTGGGTGAACAAGAAACCTTGGACGCACAACAACAGAGAAATGGTCATGGACTATTTCTCTCCATTGTTTGGGCTCCTGTTTTTGCAATTTAGCTGTTGTAGTCCCAGCTATATTACATTTACTGTTTAAATTGCCAATATATTTGGAGTGCAAGCAGTGGTTAACACTTCTCCTCAGCGAAACGGTTCGCCTGCCTCTTGCCTACCTGGTCCAGATGTATCTTGCTGGTGGAGGGTTGGCATCAGCTTGACACACAAGCTGAACATTTTCTCTGCCAACAAACCAATTATTGTCATACCCTTTTATCTGAATAACAGGTGCATCTGGAAGGAAAATATTTAGTTACTTGTCAGTACAGCAGTAAACAAATAGGAATCAGTCACATACATAGCTTAGCATAGTTACCATGACTCCTGGGGATATGCCTAAAAAAATTCAAAACTTAGTAGCTGATGCGAGAATCCTGCTGTGGATATGTAAATTAATTATGGTTAAGCACAGACCTTAAATGTTCATAAAACAGACACGCCATACAGGTACCTGAGAATGAATACCTAATGTGAAATCACTGTGCTGTCACAGGCACCTGGTGACATAATTCAAAGACCAGCTTAGTCGTACCCCTTCAGGTGGCATGGCCCATTATGCACCTGTGTATACACTTTCCTAGCAGAAGCACAGCATCCCTGCCCCATCATAAAAGGACCAATTTCTCTGCTGCTGTTGCACAACTCAACCAAAACACAGGAGGCTGGCAAATTCCCTGAGACATGGGACAATGTTTCTAAAAAAGTAATTCCATATGACAGAGTTGGAGAAAAACCAATACTGTGTGTTCAAATTACATGCGTTGTCAGAAAACAATAATAAAGATTTTGAGGGAGACATTGCATTGTGGTACCATCAAATCTGCTGTAATGTCAAAGCAGCATATAAAACTTATTCTGGCGTGCAGACTGCATACACCCTCCACTCCTCTACACAGTTATATACAATCACACATTGAAGAAACATAGCTCTGCTTCACTAAAACATGACATTGTTTTACATTTACTGTTTTACAGTCTACCAGTGTTTAAGCCATGGCATCACTTCAGTATGATTAAAAACTAACTGTAGAAAGTAACAGAACATGGAAAAAGATGAGCTAACATTCCCAGAACTGCACATCATAACCTCTTGTAATACTTAGGAAAAGTGATTACCAGTGCACAATTACAATATTAATAATTCTTTGCACGTACATAGTGTTTTTTTTATCCTGAATTTTGGCAATTTTCCACTATTTTAGAATCTACTTTTAACATTATTTGTGCCCTTTCTATGGGCCAAAACCACATCAGAGTTTGCCTAGTCATTATAAGTAATATTAATGTTGATCTGAGAATTATTTTTCCTACCATAAATTTTGCAAGTTTTAATTAGACATTTTCTCCCTTATGCTACCTTAGTAGTTGACAATGTTGCAAGCAATAAATTAAAATCTTGGCTTGGGAATCTAGTGGGGGATGGGACAGATAAAACAATCTTAGTAAAGACATTTACCCATAATGAATGCAGATATTATGCAGGCTACCAAGAAGCGTGTCATAAAGCTTGGAGAAAACACCTCAGAGTAGCAGAACAAGCATACCTGTTCCTGTCACAAGGGCCACTGCCGATAAACTGTATGTAAATAGTCAGTTCACATAGATGAGTGGCTTTGAGGGGGAATTTTAATTCTGTTGACATATGTTACAATGAATCGCAAGAGAAAACCCACGTAGCATCAGGTTTTTAAGCAGTACATTCACATCTTAATTTCTAGTGTCTAGTCCATTACCAGAGTGTGCTGGTTTGAGCTGCCTCACACTTGTCACTGTTTAATAAGCAACTGCAAAGAGTCAGGATATTCTCCTTCGTAACCTCATCCTTGTGAATTACCCATGCAGTTCTCTAGCAGCATTAAGCACAGCTTAATCAATATTTAATAACACCCCTTCATTACAGTCTAAAACAGTGCAAACAGATACATTCCCAAAGCAGAGTCAGTGGGTACATGCATAAATGACTAACATTAAAAAAAATATTTTCTAATGGAAAGTTTAACAGGAGGAAACAGTGCCTGTGTTTGACATCCGCAGGGAAGGAAAATTAAGCACATTTTGGAACATGTGCATGGGAAACTGCACTCTTTTCTGATGCATGCTGCACTGACCATTTTCTGCATGAAGCACAAAAACAGAAACAACGTTTCTCTGTTTTAGATGAAGTGTATGTATTCTGAGATGTAAAAAACAACTTCACAGGATTATCGCCTACTGTTAACATTAAGAACATGTTAAAAATATGAATATCAAATTTTACTATTTTATTACAAGTATTAAGAACAATTTAAGCATTAAGACCGCAAAGATACAGTACCATACTGTAAGCGCTGAGAGCAGCTTAAAAAATCCACATACAGTCATAGGGAAGGCAAGAGCTGGCTGACAGGCTGTGCTGCCATTCTGCATTAATGCTGATTGGCTAAAATCCAGTGTGTGCTGGTAGGAGCACTGTGATTGGCAGGTTTGTCATGCTACAGAACCTAATGAGAAAAAGGCTTTGTGCTTACAACTCGTATAGAAATCTACTACATTAAGTAATGTCAATTTAAGCAACTTACTAACTTACTAATGATTCGGTTGCCAGCTTGTACAGTTATATCATTTTCTTTAAGAGAAGATTTCTGTTAGTATTTTTTTGATGAAACTGTGCTCACAGTTTGGGTTGTTGGCAATGCATTCAGTGAAGGAGTTGTCTGTGTACTATAAAAAAAAGTTATTTTGAGCAACATTCGAAAAACGTGCATACGATCAAAGGGTTGCTGTAGTTTAAGAAACTTTTAATTGCAAAATAATGAGCAACAAACGTGGAATCTGTTGGTAAAACAAAAGACCTCTCCAGATTAGATGGCTAAATGTAATCCAATTTCAGGGATGCTGAATTGATTTGTTTTACTGCCTTAATTAAGCCAAAAGAGCTCAGAGGATTTTCTTCAAATGCAACAAACAAACTGCTATGTGGAAGGACTGGTAAGGGTATTAATGAGGTAGCTGACCTTTATACTGCATCTTTAATGAAAAAGAACAATGGAAATTCCATTTTTCAGTTTACTAATCATGATTTTTAAACTCATGAATCAAAAAATGTTGTTAAAATGGGTGCAAGATGTGCAATATTGGGATATAATGATGGGAAAGTATACATGCCAATTTCCACTTTATATGGAAAATGTCACACCACCTCAAGGCCTGCAGAAGTTTAGACCCTGATACAATTTTGGAGTTTTAAATGTCAATACATAACGTAATAATTATATTTAACCCCCTCCTCACAAATACAGCATTGGGTGAAATGTTAAAGTTAACGTTAAGCTGCATTCTGCTGACAGTGATACCCTTCATTAGCTAAACGTTTAATTTCAAAGCTCTTGTCATATAGGATTTCCTCTCAGCAGCCATAGCAATCACCAGAATTTTTAATAGTCCACAATAATATTATTGAGTTATTGGGTAATTTTTACACTACAGCTATTAAATTATAATGCGATTTGCAAAATATTTCCACTTTTTTGTAATGTTTATTTTTATAATACTTTAATACTTCCTGAAACAACAAATAATAACAGTCCATATGACAAATATTCTCTTTTAAGGGGTGGTTTGCAAGCTTAAGAACCAGTTTTATTATTTCCCAATTAAGAAGCTGACAAATAAGCTGAAACACTTTGCAATTAAAAAAGTTCAGTCGACTTACACTGCACATTGAGGACATAAGGAATTCTGAACTCCGTCTCCAAGGCCGGGTGCCGAACCACGCAAGTGAGCTTCCTGCCTTGCACAAGCCGCGTCGGCTTCCATCTGTACTGCACCTCCATCGTGCTAGTGCCATTGGCCTCGTCGATGTATTTGACCACCGGACGCCCAAACAGATCAGACTCCCAGGACACCTCCGCGCGGGGCTTGCCTCTCTCTGCCGTGCACGTCGCCACCACCGTTTCGTTGCCACCATCGATCAGGGGCGCAGAGCCTGCTGACACGTACACCTTGGGCTCCACTGGAAGGGGACAAAGACCAAAGAAGCTTAGTGCTGCATTTTGGAAAGGAAGCACTGCCATAGAGGAGGTTTATTTTAGGAACTTCCAGAACCTTCCGTTTCTCAGGTGATGTTAAAATGGAGACCCAAGTTCTTCAATGAGCCTGAATGAACCATGAACACTAATGTGCAACTGTCACTAGAAAGCACTCACCTTGCCAATCTGATCAAGTTGATTAAAACTGTCCCTGGAGCAGGCCTCAGCAACAAAGCGAGATTAGAAAAGGAGGACAATCTAACCACCTGTACAATGCCTTTTCTCATCCTGGATCACACAATGAAAAACAAGGTCGGGCGTCTCCTATTTCCAGTGAAGATAAATCCACCTGATAAAGAACACCATACAGCTTTCCCGTGTCTTCATTCAACAGAAAATTTTAAGACTCCTTAACTTGTAGGCAATTGTTTTTTTTTTTTGCCATTACACATTACTTAACAAGGCATGGGTAACTACAGTGAAACAAGAACTACATTATGAGGAAGTGGCGAGGACTGAGAATAGGAATCGGTTCTTTACACATAGGGGTCAACATCTAGAGCAAGTTTCCAAGTCATGTTATTGAAGCCATTTCCCTGGGGAACTTCAAGAAATAACCTGATGAGATCTCCGAGTCGGTAAGCTATGGCAAATCAAATGAGCACATTGTAGCATTCGACTTAAGGAAGCCATTTGAATAGTCTTGCATAAAACAACCTGTTCAAAGCCATAATGTTGCAAATCAACTTCTAATAAATGATTTAAGGACCCCTCTGATCTATTTACTTTCACAGAAATGTGAACAATACAATGAAAATCATGTGTACAGAAATCAGTACTTTTGTTTAGAATTTTGTATTTAGGTTTTACATTATATTTGACTATTTTAGTGAAGCTGAAATAAGAAAATTCTGCCACTTTACAGTTACAATACTTCAAATAATTCAGTTGGCACAGATTTGTTTCTTGTCAGTTTTTTTTATATATACAGTATGTCAATGCCTGACAACATGATGGGGTTTCTGTTGAGTACTTAGAGCCCCTGCTGAATTCAGAAGTGTAGTGAAGGTGTAGTGAAGGTACCAACCATTTGTATAGACAAGTTCAGTGTGCCTTTCAGTATATCAAAGACTTTGAAATCCAACACAAAAACATGATCCGTCTTAACCAGTTGTCTGTTGCCAGTTGTCTAAAAGTCTCTTTTCCTCTCAAAACAGCTGAAAAACATTTGGTGTGTTCATATTACTAAATCGGGTACTAAGCAAAGATTAAGTCTATTACATTTTTTCATGTTCTGAAAACAGGATGGTCAGCTCATGGGTATTTTTCTTTAAGAATAAAAATAGCCAAGATGTTACTTTTTAGTCACACTAAACAAATAATGCTAGTGGATTTTAAATGAAAATTTTGATTTGATTTTGAAACTAATCATAACACACATCCTTCAACAGAAAGAAAAAAATGGACTTATTACTGTTATTACAAAATCCTAAGCAGACCTAGACTGAAACTATCTAACAGACATTCATCAGAAAACACTAAATCATTGTACATACCGTGATTAGAATTTTTGTTTACAGATGCCCACAAAGTCTGCATGTCTCCATACCTCAACAGGCTTGGTCAAAACTTATCTCCCTTTGATAGCAGGTACTGTATAACTACAGTATGAAATGAAAAAGTACCCCTGGAGCAGGCTTCTGCAACAAAGTGAGAGGGCAAAGGAGGACTAACCAACCACCACTCTGCATGGTTATCTGTGCAAGTACAAGTAAACTGAATAAGATCTACCTGCTAGACTCCAGAAATAAGCATCTTTGCTAATGCACACTTTTTCGTTATTCACTTTTAATCACGTTAATGTATTAGAAAACCGCTATTGTTATTGGCTGCAATAGCAGTTATGAGGGGATAAGGAGTTTCTTTCAGAATTGTGAAGAACTGCTTGGATGTCAGGTTGGCTGATCAGTTCCTATGGTGCATTTTCATTGCATAGAGTTTTATTTACAGTAGACTGACAAAAGCACACAAACGTGAGACAAAAGGTATTAAAACAAATTATACTAAATTTACAGCTTTGTTTGTTAATGATTTGTAAAGCATAAAAAAGTTTTGGGTAGCAAATAAAACTAAAGTCCATTAAATGAAATTATATTTTATGCTAAACATTCTGTAAAGAACCCTGAAACGTTTTAGTTGTAATTGAAACTACAAGGTCTTATTGAGTTTAATTTGATTGCTGTGGATTCAATATGAAACTAGCTTTCCTGGCCAATGCATTCAGAGTTCCTATAAAACAGTTTAAATTAATGCGCTTGTCACAACAAAAGTCCTCTGTGGCACAAGAGCCCAAGGGAAATTGTATTCAGCACAAGAGAAGGGCTGGGAATGAATGGCAGCTCAGTGCTAACTGATAACAGTCCCTGGGCTGACAATGTGTTTGATGGTGCTTTCAACACTACTCTGGGGCAGCAAAGCAATGAAACACAAATATGCAGAAACTGGGACTCTCAGCCTTAAGTGAACAAAGAAGAGGTGCAAACCAATGTATGTTCTCCCCATATTCGTGTGGGTTAACTTTGGGCGCTCCTGTTTCCTTGCACAGTCTAAAAACATAGCTGTAGTTTAACTGGCTTCTGGAAAAAATGGGCCCCAGGGTGAGTGTTTGCATGTCTGTGTTTTTGTGTCTCTCTGCCCTGTGATGGACTGGTGTCCTATCCAGGGTGTGGCCTGCCTTGTACCCGGTGTTTGCCGGGTTAGGATCCGGCTCCCCTGCAACCCTGAACTGGAAGAACCAGTTAGAAAATTGATGGATCTTGTTGTCTTTTAATACATTTTATGATGTACAGTCTTTACCCTTATATTTGTCCGGTTTTATTGAACCATTTAAGATGCTTTTTTAACTTACTTTTCGTATAAATTGTGTGCTTCAAGATAAAATCTATTTAAACTACTGCCTTCCATTTTATTCGGAAATATCATATCTATTCTATCCTATTTTAATTGCTTTAAACTCTCATTCATTCAAAGGGCACCTTCCAGAAATTGTCAACTTCAGCTTTGGATTCAAACTGAAAACTTTTAAAATATATTTCAAAGCACAGAATATGACCATATTATGATTACAGTTCCTTAACAATGGTTCTCTCACCTCTTTGTCTCATTCTGCCTCGACTGTTTGAAAACATTAGATCTATGCAAGCATTTCCTCTTGCAGGTCCTCTGACAAACGGTAAGAAATCGGTTATTAACCATGTCTAGCATTGCAGCTTCTTTTGCCTGTATCCCTATAGGTCTTTACCATCTATATTGGGAAGGCTGAAGTCTCAACTAAAAACTACTACATTTGCACAGAAAATATGAATTACTGTTGACTTATAATCTGCATGTGCATTTGGTAGTTTATAGCATACCCCTAAAAAACCTTTGGAACTTTTTAATCTCACCCACATATTCAGTGATGCTTGATTCTTAAAATCTAAAAAAAAAAGTGTATTAATTAGTGTTAAAATTTATCTGCACCATTTTCAGTTAGTCAGGTTTGTGATTCCAATAACATATTTGCCTGCTAATGCGGTAGCTTTCCCAGCATCTTGTCTAATTTTGTTTCCAATTCCTATAAATTTAGGTTTAGCACTGCGGAGCAGTGGCACTGTGGCTAAGGATCTGCGCCTGCAGCTGGAAGGTTACCAGTTCAAATCCCGTGGCCAGCAAAGGAATTCTACTCTGCTGGGCCCCTGAGCAAGGCCCTTAACCCCAGCTGCTCCAGGGGCACTGTATAAACGGCTGACCCTGCGCTCTGACCCTAAGCTTCTCTCTCGCTGTCTGTGTGCCCATATGTCTCATGGAGAGCAAGCTAGGGTACGCGAAAAGAAATTCCTAATGCAAGAAATTGTATATGGCTAATAAAGTGATTGAATCTTATCTCTTAATTACCTGGGCACTTGTTCTCCACTCTAACTCTCCCTAGGTCTTTGTTCACCATATAACGTTCTTTTAAATTATCTTTAGTTTCTACCCCCTTCCATTGTAGTTTATGCGTTTCTGGGATTTTTTGTGGATTCTTGTGCCAAGACAACTAATATTTATTGACCTGAGAGCCTGAGCCCCCAAGAGTGTGACTCTTAATTCACTTCTACACTTTGTATTAAGTGTCTTGAGATTCACTCTATGAAGTAATATGTTCAGGTTTGGACTGGCAGAGCTCCTCTGTAACATGCCGTTTTCCCTTTTCCTCAGGATTAGTTAGGTTTTTAGGGTATCAAAGGCTACGTATCAGGCCTACAGCATGGCCTGTAAAAGCAAAGGTTACAAAAACTGTATTTGGTGGCCTATCCAATGAAATCCAAACTTGTTTTGTCTGTCCTTATAAGCCTTTTGAGTGTTAATCCAAGACAATCTCGATGAAAGGACAGCTGCGGTATTTCGTGTCACAGTGGCTGTCAAGGAGCAACTTCAAGAGGATGGAAAATCAACTTAATCCACAGCTTTTCTAACCTGATCCCTCCACCAGGAACAACAGTCCCAGAAACTGACACAACCTGCTCCCAAAAATAGACAAGACACACACCTCATTTCTTCACCTCCTGTGAGTAAACCCACTCTGCATTCTTCCTGCTCTAATTATAGGAAATCTTGTCCCCTCTAATCTGTTCCTCTGCTGATGCAGGACAGCAGTGGCAGGATATCCAGCCTAGACCCAACTCACTCAGCAGGACTTGCAAAGAGGGAGTTTACCAAATTATTCTCACAGTAAAAATCTCCTGTCTATTTCTTTCAGCACACAGTGACATCTCTCAGCTGCACTCTGCAGTCACAGGCATACAAGCTGTGTCACATTAAGCTCACAAACCATGACAAAGAGGTCACATGGCCATGTTCATCAAAAAGGAGCTCAAAGTTTGTTTACAACTTCAGTATTAATCTTATTTCACAAACATTAACACGGAGCTTCACAGAAGCCAAACCAATATCGTAACATCAA